TTTTTTTTTTTTTTTTTTTTGTTAAACATGGGAATTTTAGGGTAAGGGAAATTTTATAAGAATAGGAAACCTTCTTGCAATTTGCAATTCGAACTCAGCTCCTAGCTAGAGAAGTGGCTCACTGAGTGCACTTTCCAAGTGCTGGCTTAAGAGGCCAGGTGCAGGCTTAAGAGGCCAAGTGCAGGCTTAAGAGGCCAAGTGCATTCATGCAATTCAATAAAAATAGAGTCTGCTGTGATAAATTGATCACTTATTGATCAATTATGTTTTCTGCCATAAATATTGCTATCCATTCAATCATTGTATAATTATTATGTTTGGTCATTAATAATCGGCTAAAATCTCATTTTGTTCCCTTTATTTTAATAAAATATCTATTTTTAGCCTATCTACTTAAGAAAACTTTTTTTTAGTTCTTAAAATTTATTATCTAACTCATTTTTAGTATCTGTATTATTTTTTACATATCTGAAATGTTAAGTGACAAAAATTCTAAAGTAGAGGGATTAAAATGGAAATAAAAAAGCCTTATTTTTAGTTTCTCTACTTTGAAAAAAATCTCATTTTTAGACCCTCAATTATGAAATTTTTGTTATTTAACGTGTCACATGTGCAAAAAAAATAATGAAAAAACCAAAAAGGTTCAGAAAATAAATTTTAAGGACTAAAAAGAAACTTTTTAAAGTAGATGAACTAAAATTTTTTTTATTAAAATAAAAAGACCAAAATAAAATTATAACCTTAATAATATATGAGAATACTATTTTGTAATTAATACATGATGAACTATAAAATAAGTACACTGTAAAATAATTTATTATTAAAGGAGGAGTGACGATCAATATTAGAGAGTTTATTACCTTCTTTAATAATTAAACAAATACAGTACAACTATGGCACACTGCAATTTACTTTGGTTTGGATAATCTTTAGAGTTTAATAAATTAAATTCCTTTATTCATTACAACCCTTTTCTTGCGATTGAAAAATAATAAAAAGAGCCTTCGTGTCACTGTTGATTGATGCAGCATGTTTGTCTCCAAGAAGTTAATTTTCATGGCAATTTATGCCAAGTTAGGATATGTGAAATGGGCGGCTTGAAATTCTCCAGTGCCAAATAGAAAAATCTCTACCGTGATATCAAACATTTTGATTTTAGCGATGATTCCTTCTCATGTTTTGGTCTCCATTTCTTGTACATAATTTCAATTTATGTAGCAGACAAAAGAGAGAAATAGCAATTTTATGCCCAAAAAATAATATATTTTTTATATATAAGGAAACAAATCCCGCCTAAAACGATAGGCCATCAAGATATATATATATATATATATATATATGTATAT